AGAATAGTGGGTCTAGCTTTGATCATATCCTGGATAGGTAGATTACACAAATGTGGATGCTGACTGAATTCTTTCATTAAAATCGTCTGACAAGGCAATGACAAATTGTTGACAGTTCTTACATTTGTCATATTGAACGTTTTTGAATTTTCGTAGGTGCCAGAAATATGTAAATCAACCAATTTCGAATCATCATTATGCATTACTATATTATTGGCCCATTGCATACAAAAAGGATCGTTTCTCCCAGGTAACTGTAAACGTTCTGCGATATCACTCTCTATCAACGAAATTGTTGAACCTTCGTCAAACAAAGCGTATGTATTCAAACAATTTTGGGGTCCAAATATCTTCACAGGAACAATTCGCAATAAAACATCAGAATCATTATTATCAGTAAGACAAACTCTTTGAATCACGGTTTTCTGGTCATTTTCATCATTATTTTCAGAAACATCTATAGGATTTGCGGAAGTTTTATGCAATAAATGGTGATGGGGTCGTTTACAGTTATCAATACCACAAATAGACATTTGAAACAAACTTTCAGCTTTGTGATTTTCAACCATCGATCATCAACAGTGTCATTTTTCATAGAAGGGCAATTCAAAATTATATGGTTTTCTTCATTACAATGAGAACAGGTATTGCTTTCTAGATTTTCAGTAGCATGCATCACCATATTTCCCGAACGTTGATTGCCATTACATTTTCTATAATCTTGTGTTCGATGATTGAACTTTCGTTCATGGTCAGTTAATGAAAAAGTAGAAACACTTACATAGCAAGCAGCAGATGAAATTTCATTAGTCCATTTTCCAAAATCTTTCAAATTGGCTTCACCTTTTTCCGCCATCATTACTTGCCCCCATAGCAATTTCATTCCACTAGGAAGCTTTGTTACTAACTGCTCCAGGAGTGTAGGATTCGCCAAGTGATTGCCTGCCTCCAGCTGCTCCAATGTTGCTGCCAGGTTGTTCGCGTTACATGAAAATTTTATAAAATTAGAAAAATCACCATCTTTCACTGCAGGAAAGTTCTGAATTTTGCTGATGAGACTTCTAATAATATACTCAGGACGACCAAACATCATTTCCAAAGTCTGAATGACCAAAGGTACATTACCTGGGTGTAACAATAAACTCCTCACTGCCTGTAGAGCTTCACCTTTCGAACATCTCTGTAGTTTCATCATTATTTCATCATTCGAGTAATGGAACATCGCAACTTTTCTATCATACTGATTCTTGAACAGAGGCCAATTTTCTGAATTTCCATCAAAAATGCAAAATTCTTGTTCCAGTACTTGTTTCTTCTGAAGTGTAACGTTTTCTTGTGAAATTGAAACACTTTTGATAGCATCTGCTATCACATTACATAATTTTTCGATGTTGCCTGTATCAGAATTATCTTTATTGGAAGTAGAGGCATACTCACCACATGTTTCAACCCATTTTTGTGTATGAATATTTTTTTCCTCAGTATTCGTACTCACGAAATCACCTTCCCTTTCTTCTGCACCTTCTGTAAACTGACTTCTTTCTCCCTGTTCGTCTAGTTCAGCTTCTGCCAGTTCCTTTTGCAGTTGTAAAATCTTCATTTCATTGTCTAACTTCAGTTTTCTTAACATCAGTTCTGCCTTAGCCTTTTCCGTTTCAAGCGCCAAACGTCTTCTTTCCGTTTCGATTCTCTTTGTTGACGACATCTTGGACACTGTAGATATCCTCTTGGAGATTATGGAAGGACCTGACTTCTTGGATGTGCATCTCGTTTCCCTAGAACGTGCCTCATCCCTATGTTCATGCTTCCTACCAGCTTCTTCTTGAGGTGTTACGATTATGGACTGTGACTGGGTCAGCTCAGGAGTATTTTCCGTTTCTACTCTCGGTAGCTGGGGCTGGCGTAATGCCCATTCGAAATTTTGATCCAGATTTCCATTTACACCAGCGTTCGCTCTTAGAGATCTTCTCAATCTTTCTTCAGACATCTTATTCCGGGTTATTTCAATCAAATTTACTAAACAGACTTAACTTGACATTAATTCTTTTTTATAACAAATTCAACTTTTTCTTCCGCTAACTAATGACGATAATACAGTGTGAACTACAATAGCATTTCAAAATAACAATACTGCGACAAGAGAAAAACAACTACTTTCCTGGCTGTATGCCACGCAGAACATTGCATTACATCCTCCCGAAACCTATGCGATAGTTCGTATAAACGAATAAAATCGCAAGGAAACACTTGCGATTTTATTTTCACCTGAAATTGGATTTTTTTTGGAGTGTTTCTTTCCTTGCCAGGCGGCGTTCGGCGTTCGCGTTTTCATTTCGCAGACGTCGAACGCCTCGCCTCGTATGGTATAAATGCTGAGATGCGTTTACGTTGGGTCAGGTTTGCACCAGATAGCGGTCAAGAAGCTATCTGGGACAGCCCTGTACTGATGAGAGCCAAGAGCTCGAAATCGGTCTGCAGGTAGTCAGCGTTCCTGAACCACTTAAGCGCAGCTCAGCGTTTAGGAAGGAAACACTTGCGATTTTATTCGTTTATACGAACTATCGCATAGGTTTCGGGAGGATGTAATGCAATGTTCTGCGTGGCATATAGCCAGGAAAGTAGTTGTTTTTCTCTCGTTATCTACCATTGTCGTTCATTTTATGAACTAGTTGTGGTAATGACTCTGAGTTTCTCTCTTTGTAAAGATTTATTATTTGATTTCTGCAAGTGTTTATCAACAGTGGCCTCCATCTGACGAAATTTGGTGTTATCTGTTTTAAACTGAGAAATAGTAGTTTTCACGTCTTTTTCAAATTCCTCGACTTTTTTCCACAGCTCGTCAAGCGCGGAATCACTTGTACTGTCCAAGTGCTTTCTGAATGATTTCTTGAATTCAGCAAGCTTACTTGTGAAATCAGACTCCATTTGACTAACTTTTTGGTTGATAACCTCAACATCCGTCGAGTTATCGGTATTGCCGGTTTTTGTGTCTCGTTTAGGGCCCATCTCGATCAACACTATGTTAACAATGAATGGTACACACTACCGACTTCGAATGAAAAACTTTTACGCACAAATACGAGCAATATTTGAAATTTTATTGCCGACGTTCCGACTAGCCACTACTCGGTGCGCGCCATCTTGGAACCTTGGAACCTCTGATGAGGGCTGTGGAAATGCCTCACTGCGGCATTCAACTTCCGCATATTGTTTTTTTTTTCCTGATGGAGATATAACTTCAATATGAGGGTGGGCCTTCTTGATGGATAACCCTGTGCGAAAAACATCTCCTTCCGCTATCATTTGCAGCAAAATGTCCGCAACATCAAGTACGCATTTCCTAAATGTGTTGTTCAAATTGAGATTTGGAAAATACCCCAAATGATACATAGGTGACGGGAAAAAGTTTGAAATTTCATCTCTGTTGACAGGTTATAAAATGTCACTTTTCATTAATTACTTTTTTCCTGGATATATATAGTCTGTCGATGACTTCTATTGTGCTAGTTCCGAACAATCAGCCAACAACACCGTCTCCGAGAAAGAACTGCAAGTTCATTTATCTTCCATTCGACTTCGCGGTTACGTAAATAACTAAACATCCACTGAATTCTCAATATTCGAAAATCGAATCACAGAATTAGACTGACAAATTACTTCATAAAAAAAAAGATAAATATGCCTGCAACGCAGGTGTCATCACTGTTAAAAACTTCAAATCTCTCGTAGAAAATCTACTTCTCTCTTGCCCTGTATAATACATAAATACAATAACGACATTGGGCCCATTCATGAGAGGATTCTCTGAAACTTCTTTCTCCTATTCCGTTTGATATCGTGATTTTCTCGAATAGACTTCGTCACGATGTTTCCAACTAGGGATTCACCACATTTTTGGTAGGTAATGACATTGTGGTTATTTATTATTATCCTGAAATCATTATCACTACATCTCAGTTTCTTTGTTAACAGGGAAAGTTTCAATGTAACCATGTTCAGAACTAATATGCGTAATCATGATAATGATAATAATTTATAATAATAATAATTTATTTATTCACACAAAATCACACACTCACGAAATCACAATAAAAATGTACACACAGTTATAATGATAGAGGTTGAGTTGGTAGTGTGAACATAGCAGCAAAAGCCGATAAGTGTGAAAACACTTGTTTCAAAATCGACAAAATAAAATATTTGAAATGAAGAGCCACATACAATATAGACATAATATCAATAATTGTAATAAAAATAGTAATATAACTATTGCAAAGAGCATGCATGAGTATGCGAAACCTAACTTAACTAATAGATAATAAATAATATAATATTATATTTAATATAATATTTCATTTTGCAACCTTGGACTTCGCGAAACTGACAAGTTATGTAACGTGTTTGTTCGCTGGAATATAGATTTAGATAAATTTAGGAACCATTATTTGGTTCTACATAAGGACATTCACTTCATAAATTTGTGGATTTGTCCTTTTCAAGTTGATTGTTACTGTTATTTGGTAATAAAGTTGATGAAAATTGAGTAAGGGGTTAGTCGAAATCATGCAGCTTGTTTTCTCTCATCATATAAGTAGGTATGTAAGTTCAAATTGAGGAGCGTATTCTTCTTATTCTAGTAAATTTCACTTAGCCTTTCAAGTTCTCATGTAAAGATGTTGACTCAATGAAAGCATTCATTAATATTATCATTACATATATTATCAATACATTTTTAAATTTTTTCCAAGAGGCAAAAGTTATCAATCTCCAGAAGACGAGTTGATGTTTGAAAAATCCTTCGAACCAAATGAAGCATAATGGAAGCTTTATTGAAAAAAGACGTTATTATTATTATTATTATTATAAGCTGAATATTCAATAAGTTCAACATATTTTCCAATATGGCGGCGGCCAAACGACAATGATTTGGATCATGTGACCAAATCTTATATGACTTTCACAGCTGAAACATCTTTGTTCTTTATAGATTTTTTTTTCAGGAAAAATGAAGTTCGACGTTACCATCCTGATAGTTCCAATATCTCTTCTTGTTGCTGTTTTTGCGTCGAGCTGTGACAGAGAATTCAACTTATATGACATCTATGGACCAGGATACGAAATAACATGCAAGGGTTTGGACCAAACTAACCTAGCTCTCCTGGAACACTTCACTGTAGCAAACGAAATAATTTTGAAGATACAGAATTCAACTTTCCAGAACATATCATCCAAAGTTTTCCGTAGTGTAGGAAGTATAAAATATTTATATCTAGAGAATTCTACCTTCACATTTCCTGAATCCGAAGCAATCTTCAGTACTCTAGATGAACTAGAATACCTGTCTATTATTAGAACTGCATTTTCAATTGACAATGAGACTTTCTCAGGGTTGAAGAGTTTGAAAGATTTAATTCTGTCTGACATTGGATTACACATTTTTCCAGAAGATTGTTTCAGAGACTTAGAAGCATTAAATAATCTCCAGATTACCCAGAATTTTTTACAGAATATAGATAATATACCATTTTGTCACTTGGACAATCTAAGGACGTTGAATTTATCTCATAATGCAATACAGAATCTGTCAAGTCAATATCTCATATGTGAAACTACTGATGATAGTCTCATTGATTTGAGTCTAAATGATCATAAACTATCCATCCAACCTGATAATTTCGCATCGATAGATGCATTTTCATCGAATCTCAATGATTTAGATCTGAGCTATAACAATCTAAAAAGCCTAGGTTATTATCTGAATAGCTTCAGATACTTGAGAATTCTCAATCTGCAGGGCAATCAACTCACTAAGGTAAAAAAATTGAACTTCAGGAACTTGAATTCTACTGAAGAAATATATCTCAATAACAATCAAATCAAAACCATAGAAAGGAACACATTCATAGGTAAAGATAGCTTGCTTCGCTTCGATTTGTCAAACAACAGACTGCATCATTTAGTGTTAGATCAATTGACAGCGTTGAAATATTTGAACCTGGGTCATAATAATCTCACGGAAGCCTGTCTGCAAACAATAGATAGTAGTTTGTTGGAATTTTTATTATTAAATAATAATAACTTCTCAGATATAAAACCAGGAATATTCAATAATTTCTCAAATCTCAGAACACTAGATTTGTCAAACAACCATATCAAATTGAATAATCATTCATTCATGAGATTATCGCATTTGGAGATACTCAAAATGAGTGATAATGATATTGTGGAATTGCCTGGTTTAGTATTCGAATCATTGAAAAACCTTGAAAACTTAGATTTATCAAGGAATAAACTTTCCTCAATTTCCAATAAGGATACATTCAGAGAATTAGAAAATCTGCAATTTCTGAACCTTTCACATAATTACCTGGAAAATCTGGAATATAGCTTACTAGAATCCACCAAAGACTTGCGTGTTTTAGATATAGAGAATAATCGCTTACACTCCGTTCAATATGAGATGATCATTACTCACTTACCCTTACTTTCTGTATTGAATATTAGATCAAACCTTCTATCTTGTGAAAAGTTAGCGGATATTATCAAATATTTGAAAGATAGACGAGTTAACTTCACAACTCAACACTCAGCATTCGAAATAGATGAGGAGAATATTGCTGGAATATATTGCAAAACCGATAAGAGTGTTTCTTTACCAAATTCACAAGATCATAGTGGAACTAGTAGCCCCAATTTTGTGTTATCATTTAGCATAGTGGTGGTTTCGATTTGTTTTGTCATTATAACTGGGGTGTCTGTTTTTAGAATTTTCACATACATCAAGAGACGGAAATATAGAGCTGATGAATTCGAATTGATAAATGAATGAATAGGTAATCAACATGCGCATGTATATAAGTTGATACATAGGTATTTTATATCTGAGAATTTCTCCCAACTATCAATGAAATAATACTGTTGGATTGAAAATTCATGTTGTTCATATGAGGAATACTCTATCCAGCATTTATACAAGGCTTCCATTCCAAAACTCACCACCCAGAATAAGCGATAATTGAAAATTTTCGACAAGGTTGATTCAGATATCGAGGGGAAAGTGAATTACCAAAATCGATTGAATGATTTGTTCATCTCCATCACCTACTACCACCTCTACCTTAAATTAGATTCAGGAGGAGACAAAATCCCAGATACGCAAAAATTGATTTTGTGGAATAGTGTCAGAGATAGCGAAAAAAGTAATGGAAATTTGTTAGAGAAATCAAGAAATACAAATTTCCACTGAGGTTATTGTAGCCATTGTTCAGAATGTTCCCGATACTACTCTGTAGACAATATTATGTACATGATCCTGACATCATTCTTCGTTTGAGTTCATCAATATTTTCTCGCGGAGTTTCACAAAACATTGTTCGCAAGTGACTCCACAGAAAATATTCAAGAGGTGTCAAATGTAGTGATCTTGACGGCCATTCCACTTCTTCAATTAAGAGCGGTCCAATTATCTCATTTCCAGTTACCATGATATTCCCAGGAAACTCCTCAGTATATGGTTCCATCGAAATACGTGTAGATTTCAATTGTCCCAGAATATTAAATAGCGGTTAACGCTGAAGGTCTATTCACAGGTACGGTCTCGAAGCTTACACTAATTGCTCTAAACATAATAATAGATAATTGGTGTGAAGAGAAGGATTTCACAGTGCACCCTTATGAAGCCCTATAGTGAATTCAAGGAAAAAGAGAGTACTGGAAGGATCAAGGTCACTAGTACTCAACATGTTTTATCATATGTCAACATGGAATCAACACCTAGAAAAAAAATGTTCAAAAAGGTACAATAGCCTTCAATTTGTGCAGACGAAGGTGTGGAAAAGATAGGGACTGCAACCAAACATGACCACATGGCTCTATGTCAGTGTCATTAGGCAAATGATAGCATATGGGCCGGAATTTTGGTGGCCAAAGATACAACAGGCTGGAGTGAATCGGAGGCTCAGTGCCATCCAAAGGCAAGCTCGACTGAGTGCCCCGGGTGCAATGAAAACCACTCCAACAGCCAAGGCGAAGTAAGAGCAATACTGGGTTGACTGTCCAGGGGTCAAGTACCCATAAGCAACACGCACGGTAAGAACTATAGAAAGCTATACAGGGTGTCCCTCCGGGAACTGCATCGATCAATATATAGAAAACCATAGGTGGGCCGAATTCGAAAATTCGGTAGTTCAATATTGTTGATAAGTGCTATCCAGCTAAAATATTTTGAAGATTGTGGCACTTCCGGTTATATCGGAAGTAAACCCCATCTTCGTTATTCCAAACGTAACACCCTGTATTTTATCGCATTTTCAGATTCTTACTGAAGAACTGATTTCATCGATGTATCACACTTGGGGTCAATCAGGAATGATTACAGAGATATCGGGTGTTCAAAATCAAGATTTTCCAATTTTCGGATGTTCTTGTGTTGAAACTATTCATTATCGATATTTTCGACAAAAAAATCTCAAAATTGAAAAATCTCGATTTTGAACACCCTACATCTCTGTAGTAATCATTCCTGATTGACCCCAAGTATGATACTTTGATGAAATCAACTCTTCAGTAAGAATCTGAAAATGCAATGAAATACAGGGTGTTCCATTTGAAATAACGAAGTTATCAACAATAGTGAACTACCAAATTTTCAAATTCGGCCCACCTATGGTTCTCTATATATTGATCGATGCAGTTCTCGGAGGGACACCCTGTATATAGAGTAGGAAAACGTCCCTATTATGGGAATGTCAACACAGGGCATGATTCAATAAAGTATCTTTGAAATAAATTTAAAAATAAGTATAACGGACAGAGAGTAATGAGAGGAAGAACCTCATATCACATCTACACGGATGCTTCCAAACCTGAGGAAGGGTCAAGAGCTGATATTTATGGAGTCAAGTCAAAGACAAGAAGCCCACTGAGCTCATGTAAATACGCGAAGGTGTTCCAGACAGAAATTGATAAAGGATGAGTACAAAGGCAAAATCATTGCAATCTACTCTAAAAGCCATCATTCAACTCATTTCTGCGGCCATGATCGTTTTCACTGGGTTGCTGGTGGATTTGAATTTTGTATGGGAAGAATTCATCCAGCTCCAGCAATTTATGTATTCTATAGAATAAACCGAAATATTTTAATTCTTCAATACCTTGAGACAGAGTTCCTGAAATACATAGCAAAGTGGCTCTATACTTCGATCTGAGCAGCTTCATCAAGAGTTCTTTGTTGAATAGTTTGTATTACAAACGGAGTCAATTTATTCGAATGGCCTCACTAGATAACTCTGAATGTTCCTCGTCACAGCGATTGTCAGCTCCACAAATAGATATATTATTTTATTTTCCCCCTTATTGTGAAGGATAAACCATTTTGTAGAATCTCTTGGTACCAATAAGTATCAGTATGAAATATAGGTTCAAATGACTAACGATAGTTAACTGCCGAATATTTCTGATACATCCATTACTTGTTGAATTTCATAAAAAGTTCACAAAAAATTGATGGCGAAGCGTTTCGAAGAATTCGTGATGAATTGGAAAATTCTCATTGCCTACATAATTATAACTATTGTTCTCAATACCTTCATTGAATTTATATGTCAACCTCAATTAATTTTCTATTGAAATTGCATCAATTTCAATGATATCTCTGATATGTACAGACAAAACTGGGTTTTTTCCTCTTTGATTTGGATATTGCTATATTCTGAATCTTATGTTCCTCAAATCTGCGGTTACCATCCACAATTTCATAGTAGGGGTGTCTGGGGGTTGAAGGGATGAGATTCAATCGATACTGGTACCTATTCCACTTTTTCATCGATCTGCCAATTCTTTTCGAATATTGTAATCCACGCAGATCAGAAGATATGCGGGGTGGTAATAAGGTTTGAAATGAAAGCCCTGATGTATATTATGTTTTACCCAATTGAATGTCGATTTCGATCACTGGCCAAAATTTTCACCCACAACGTGATATGGAATTTCTTATACATTAACGTATACTCAAGAAAGTAGAATTCAATCCATCATTGAACTTGCTTCTTCTAAAGTTCAATTCTCTCATTTTCTACCATCCACACAGTTCAGTTCAGTTCTTCACTTCATGACAGCATTCATAATTTTGTTGCAGCAATTTATCGTTACCTAAACGTTAGGAATATAAGTCAGATTGAGATCGATCATCATAATTATATAAAATGAATGAAAAAACAACATCTATCGGCATAAAACCTCTATATTGAAATAAATGATGACTAGATATTACAAGCTGATAATCGAATGATTTTTCAACTAATTATTTTCTAGAATAGAAAAAATCTATTTGGCACATGTATTTTCCGAAGTTTATATTTACTGCAGAGTTCATCATGAGAAAATCGAAAACTGTCAATACCATTGAAATTGAAAATGGATCGGAAATTGATATATTGGAACAGTGGAATTTTTCATACATTTTGAATACATATATAGGAAATCAGTTTGATGATATATGAAAGATGATAACTATGTGTATAATTTTGTATTTTGTGAACAACCACAACAACATAATACATATGAGAGACAGGAATCAGGTACAACACACACAGGGTGTTCTCAAATTACATAGGAATAAGATTTCAATCACAGATTCTAGGAAAAAAAATTGTGAAAAAAGTTTATATGAACATGAGCCCGAAATAGCGCCCTGAGGAATTATAGCCATCTGGAAGAGGACCCAAGATGATGGTTTCTTGTAAATATTCCCGAAACCCTCTGTGTTGAGATAACAAAATTTCGTACATGTATATTTCTCTTCATGCCTGATTTTAAAATGTTGAGAATTTTCCGAAATTATTATCAAGGGTGTGGGAAATAGGTGAGGCTAAAGACATTTCTTTCCCCAACTCTTTTTTATGCAATTTCCGGCAGTGTGACCAGGAAATATGGAAATATCATTTTTACCTAAAAATGATATAACTGTTACCATTTTCGAGATAATCCGATTTCAAAAGTCAGCTGCGTAATAAAAATTGTACATTTTCTTAGTAGGGTAGGTACCTACCATGAAATTTTTCAAATTATTATTTCAATTGTTCATCCCATATGTTGAGTCAAACATGTTAAAAAATGGGTATTTGCTATCAAAAAATAATTATTGGGAGAATTTGCCACCCTATTATGAGGAAAAAGCACTATTTTTGTTACGCAGCAGACTCTTAAAATCGATTTATCTCGAAAATGGTGAGTGCTATCGAAACCGAATAGGAGTATTATTTCGTGTAAAAATTATGATATTCTTATATTTCTCAATCAAACTGCCGGAAATTGCATTGAAATAGGAGTTGGGGGAAGAAATGCCCCTAGCCCAACCTATCCGTCGGAGATCAAAATTTCAGAAAATTCCTAATATTCTCAGATCGGACATTGAAAGTTATACAGGGTGGCATTGAAATAAGTGCAAATATTCCAAACCTTGAGGAAGCTCTACGTATATTATCGAATATCTCAACAAAAAAATATCGGGAGCAAAATCAAATTTTTGGGTTTGACCCTTTTTCCACCTAAAGTTCTACATTGTAGCCATTCTAATATTTTTCGCTCGACAAAGTAATAATTTCGAGTAGTATATCATGAAAAAAAAAACTTGAATCGTCCTAGGAATACGTGATTACAGGGGTGGGGTGGAGCAAATTGTAACACACCGTATGATCGGAGACGGAAATGTGGTAAAAGACATATCTGATGAAATTTCAAGCATTTTTGGTCCACGACCATTATTATGGAATTTTAATTGTGCATGTGTTTCCTCATGAGGATAATGAATGACATGAAATTATTATCCACTGAATGAATCTGGAACTCTCGACAACAAAATCCTTCATATATGTACTTATCTGCAAAAAACCAACTGAAATATGATAAAGATCCAAACTTAATCCCTAAAACCAACCAACTCATGAAAGAATTCGATAATATGAATAGTATATTATATAAT